CTATGAATATATTTGTATATGTGTAATATATTATGTATGTAATATATACAAGTATATTATACATATAGCTTATATATTTGGTACATTATAATTAATATATTAGTGATATACATAAAATGTATAATACATAAGATATATTAATATGCTACATATTTTAGATAACATGGTAATATTGTTATATAAAAAATTCCATGTAATAATATATATTTGAGGGGGTTACACTGATGATTGATTGATTGGGAGGTAGGAGTCATCTCTCTTCCTTCACCTCGTGGGATCCAGGGTCAAACTCAGGTCACCAGGCTTGGTGGCAAGCACCTTAACCCACTAAGCCATCTTATTGACCAGTATATTATTTATTATATAACATGTGTAATAGCCAAAGATGGTGACACATGCCTATAATCCTGACACTTTGGAGAAGGTAAGAGAATCAGGAGTTCAAAGTCATCCCCAGTTACATAATGAGTTTTAGGCCAGCCTGGGTTATATGAAATCATATCTCAATAAAACTCTTCTGAAAATATGTATTGTATATTACAGAATAATATAGTATATTACACGTATTATAATTTATAATAGGGATCATGTCACAGTGTGATCCCTAGCAACCAGCAGGACAAGAGTCCTCAACCAGTCCTTGTGCCCATCTCTCTGAGCCCTAGCTATTTTTGTATGTGTATATATGTATGTATGCAAGTACATACTCACATGTATGGAGGCCAGAGGATGGCCTCTAGTGGTGTTCCTCAGGCACCAATCCACCTTTTTCTTGTTGATGTTTTATTTTTTTGGTTTTTTGAGTCTCTCTCTCACTGACCTGGATCTAGCTACATATGCTAGGCTGGATGGCCAGAGAGCCCCAGGTATTTGCAGTCTTGGCTTCCCCAGCACCGGAATTGCAAGTGTGCACCACCATGACCAGCGTTTTTGTGAGTTCTGGGAATCAAACTCGGGTTCTTGTGCTTGCATGGTAAGGACTTTACCCACTGAGTTACTTCCCCAGTCCTTTCACATCTTGTTTCTTTGTTTTTATTTGAGACAAGGCCCTCCTGCCTCTAGACCTTCTGAGTGCTGGGATTGCTAGCATGTGGCATCATACTTGCTGAGTTCTCTACCTCTCACCCTCTCTCAGGCCTCACTCTATACTGTTCCCTACTCGGTGCCTCTCTACCACCTTCTGTTTTTCCCTACCAGAAACTGGAATTCTGTTGCACCTCAGGGGCCATAAACCTAATCTTGGAAGGGTGTGGCTTATTTAACATGTACATGTCAGGACTTCTGCCAAGAGGTTCAGGTTCCATGGGCCTAGACATCTGCTTCCTGAACAAGCACCTGGGTTTTGATTGATGGATGTGTTTGTGGGGCTGAGAAATCCTGGACGAGGACTGGAGTGTGTGGCTTAGTTCCAGGCCTAGTTGTAAAAATCCCCAGCACTGTTTAAACTGGGTGTGGTGATGCACATCTGTAATCACAGTACCTCAAGAGGATGAAGCAGGAGAATTGAATTTCAGGCCAGCCTGGATTGCTTGGACCCTGTCTAAAAAAAGGATGGGGGGGTGCCGTGAGGCAGAGGATCATCACCTCAGGTTTAAGGTCAGTTTGGACTAGATAGTTCTAGGACAGCCTAGACTACAGAGTGAGATAATATCTCAAAAATATGGAGAGAAAGGGGCTGGAGAGATGACTCAGTAGTTAAGAACACTGGCTGCTCTTGCAGAGGACCTGGGTTCGCTTCCCAGCACCCACATAGCAGCTAACAACCATCCTTAACTCCAGCTCCAAGGGATCTGATGTCCTCTTCTGACCTCCAGGGACATTGAACTTGCATATATACAGGCAAAACACACATATACATAAAATTAAAATAAATTAAAAACTTTTTAAACAAGAGAGAGAGAGAAATGCTGACACAGATTAGACCTAGAATGAATGGCCCGGGTTAAGGCTTATGAGAGTTGTGACTAGAAACAGGAAAGGCTGTCAGGAGGGACATTTGAGTCCCTGGGGTGACAGCTTCCTGGAGGGAGAACTATACACATCCAGAGATTTAGGAAGATGAGATCCCTTAGAGTGACAACTGAGGACCAAAAGGAAGTGCTACCTCCCATACCCCTCAGTCTCCCATCCTGTTTCTTTTACATGTATGTATATGTGCACTTGTGTATGTATGTGCATATTCCTGGGAGGGGAGGGGTGTGAGTATACATATGCCTAGTAGCATGTGGAGGTCAGAAGACACCTTGTGTGTGCGCCTTCTACCTCCTGTTTAAGATGGGCTCTTGGGTCTGGCAAGATAACTCAGTGTGTGGAGGTGCTTGCTGCCAAGACTGGTGGCCTGAGTTTGATCCCTAAGACCCATGTGGTAAAAAGGAGAGAACTGACTTGCACAAGTTGTCCTCTGATCTCCACACATGACCTGTGGCACGGTTGTGCAAAATAAATAAATAAACAAACAAACAAACAAACAAACCGTCACTTGTTAGCCTGGAACTTTGCCATGGTGGCCAGGCTAGCTGACCCAGAGATCCACTTGTTTCTGCCTCACATCTCACCATTGCTAGGATTATAGGCATGCACCACGAACACGGGACTTTTTACATAGGCTCTGGGACTTAAGCTCAGGTCCTTAGGCTTGCAAGGCAAGTGCTTTACCTACTGAGCCATCTCCTCAGCCCCATCCCTGTTTCCTTTCTGTATCAGAATCGTCCAGCTTTGTGGCCATCCTGCCAGGAGTGCTGGTGATAGTGTTGGTCCCTGTCTTAGTGCCCAGAGTGTATGTTTACATGATGACAAGGAGGAGGAGGACAGGACTACGATGATAAGGACAGGGTAAGTCTTGGGTAGGGTGAGTGGACAAGGCAGCAGATGGGTAGGGCCTAGCACACGCAAAAGCCGTGCTCCCGAATCTCTTCCCCACTGCCTACCTCTAGGGAGAAAAGGCTGAGACAGACGGAGAAAGACTGGAAGACTTAGGTGAGAACTGACCCTGGGGCCGTACAAGCCCTGGCCTGGGAAGCTGAGTCCTCCTCCAACACGGGTTTTCTTTTTGTTTTTCCCTCAGACCCTGTTCCAGACCCGCCTTCAAAGCCAGAGTTCCGAGTTGTCCTCAAACAGATACAAATAATTTATTTTTTTTACATTATTATTTTATATTTCTTATTGGGGGAGGTGCACATGTGCGCACACTCGAGTGGAGGTTAGATGACAACTTGGAGTCAGTTCTCTCCTTCCACCATGTGGGTCCTGGGGATGGAACTCAGGTCTTCAGGCTTTGCAACAAACACCCCATAATTCTTTTTTTTTTTTTTAAGATTTGCTTTAATTATATTTATTTATGTGTGTGCATGTGAGTGTGGATGTCCTGAAAAAGCCAGAGAGAGTGGTCAGATCCCCCTGGAGGTGGAGTTATAGGCAGATGTGGGCAGCCTGACATGGGTGCTGGGATTCACACCCTTAACCACTGAACCATCTGTTCAGTTCCATAATTCATTTTTTTAAAAAATTTTTATTATTTATTTTTATTTTATGTGTATGAGTGTTATGCCTGCATGTGTGTAAGTGTACCTGTGTCATGCAATGGCTGTGGAGATCAGAAGAAGGCATCGGATTCCCCTGGAACTGGAGTTATAGATGGTTGTTAGCTGCCATGTGGATGCTGGGAATTGAACCCAGGTCCTCTGTAAGAGCAGTCAGTGCTCTTAACTGCTGAGCCATCTCTCCAGCCCCCATAATTAATTTTTTGAGTTGTGAATTTCTCCATGATTATGGTGGAGGCAGTTGGGTTGGGAGATGAGAAGAAATAGGAGAGAGAGACAGGTGTGTGGGGATCCTGGGGGTTGGGTGCTGGGCTAGCGGAGGAAATGTCAGGGAAGAGAACCTTTGGTCTCAGGAAGCAAGATGTCAAAAAAGCAAGCCACAGTCAGGTGACCCATTCAGCCCTGAAAAGGCACTAGGAATGGAAGAGGTGGAAAGGGCATGGAGGGAAGCTTCTGGAAGGGAGAATGAGCTGTCACCTCAGCCCCTGTGAGACAGGAGAGATAACTGCCCATGCAGAGCTTTGCAGTTGTTTCAGACAATGTCTCATGTAGCCCAGGCTGGCCTCAAACTCATTGTATAGCTGAGGATGACCTTGAACTTCTGATCCTCCTGCCTCTATCTGTTAGGATTAACAAGCCTGGGTTACTACACCCAGTTTATGTTTGGGACGGAACCCAAGGTTCATGCATGCTGGGCAAGCACTCCACCAACTGATCCACATCCCCAGCTCCAATAGCTCATCTTCTTTACCACAGGAAGTTCCTTTTTAAAAATGTGTGTGTGTGTGTGTGTGTGTGTCTACATGCATGTTCATCTGTGTACAGCTATTGCTATGTGACACTGTTCTTGGGGAGACGTGAACAAATGGCTACTCACCCTAGACGGAACCAACAATGTACCAAAGTAAGGATGCTACCAAAGTCCAAAATGGTGAACAATGAGTTTCTTGGGATGACTCCCAGGAGTATGGGTGAGGGGTTACTTACAGGAGCAGAAATGACTCAAAGATACCTCATGAAAGCTGGAAACCTGGAGCTCACTGCACACCTTGCAGACGGTATCATAGGCTGGGGCATGTCTCTTCTAGGCAGCTCTGCTTATCTGGGCCTCTTCCAGGCAGCTTGGCTTATCTGAGAATGTCTCTCAGCAGTCCTTACTGCATGGAAAAAGGGTCAGTTTCAGGGACTTCCTAAAACTCCTGAGTTGTTTACTTCTTGAGTCTTAAAAAGCCTCCTTCTAGAACTTCCTGAGCTTAACCAGCTTCCCTGCAGGATGGAATGTCCGCCTTCCTTTAGAACTCAGGAGTCTTACTGCTCCCTCCAAGAGGGAATGCATTAACTAGGAGGAAATTGCTGTACAGCAGGTGCACACTGCATGTGCACACACATGCTTGTGGGGGTCAGAGGACAGCCTCAAGTGTCATTCCTCAGGCCCCTTCCACTTTTTGTTTGAGTCAGGGTCTCTCATTGGCCTAGAACTTGGACAAGCAGGCTAGGCTACTGGCTACCAGGCCAGCCTGCTTTCATGGGTACACCTGTCTCTGCCTCTTGTCTCACTACCACTGGGTTAAAATGTGCACCACTACATCAGACTTTTTATGTGGGGTCTGGGGACCAAACTCAGGTCTTCATCTTGTGCAGCAAGTACTTTACAACTGAGCTATCTCTCAGGGTTTTTTTTTAATTTTTAATTTTACTGTGTGTGTTTGTGTGTGTGTGTGTGTATGTGTGCATATACATGCCACTGCACACATGTGGAGGTCAGAGGACAATTTGCAGGAGTTGGTTTTCCCTTTCTACCATGTGGGTCCTGGGGATCAAACTCGGGTCATCCTTTGGATTTGGTGGCAAGGGCCTTTACTTGCTCATTCAACTCACCAGCGCCCTCCCCCATCCCCCAATTGTTTTTAAAGCCAGCTTCAAACTTGCTATGTAGCCCTAGCTGGCCTGGAACTCACTATCCCACTGCTTTAGCCTCCCAAGTGCTAGGGATTGCCTAAGAACCCAGGCTCTTAGAGGACATGGCCTCTGAGCTCCTCCACTAGGGGGAAGCAAGGTCATTTCGACAAATCTCACATTTCTAACTGGGGTGAAAGATGGAGGGCCCTACCCTTTTATTCCTCCATTCCTCCAAAGAGCCTGGGCAGTTGGTTACTATGGGAGCTGTGGGTAGAGGTACTGTTTTGGAAGTTCTGATCACTACTCAGGTAGAAGTGACCTTCAGGAGAAGGAGACCAAGGTATGAGGCTGGGTCCCCTTCTGGGTTACTTCTTGCTTGGGGAAAGAGTCTGGGCTCTAACAAAAGGAAAACAGCCAGCTGGGCAGTGGGAGGATATAGGACCTCAAGGAACAGGGAAGACTAAGGCCTGGGAATGTCTAGGCAAGCAGGACCCAGTCCCTGGAGGGCTATTACTACTGTCTCCTGAGACATCCAGACTTTTGGAGACTTTCCCTGAAGCAGACCCATTGTGGGTAAGGGCCCAAGAAAAGAAAGGTGCCCCTTGCCAAGCCATGTTTTCCCTCCCTCAGTGGGGGAGGGGGAATCCCCTTACATAGGAAGGTACAGCACAGCCTCTGGACCCAGCCTGTGCTGGGCTGCCACCTCCCTTGAGCCCAGCTTTGCTGCCTGGCCTCCATCTTTGTATTGCTCTGTTCCCTTGACCTTCATCACCCTTCTTCATGGCAGCTGTCTGAAGGTCACCTTATCTAGCCCATATATCTCTATTTGGTAGTGAAAGGGAGTTGGCTAGGCCCGTATCCTTTGGATGGCTACCCTCCTTCCTCTGCAGTGCTGAGTCCCACCCACCCCCCTCAGGGATATTAATCATGTTGTTAAGGGAGAAAAGAAACAAAGGACAAAGTGTGGTACTTGCCTGTAATCCAGTATTCCAGAAGCTGAGACAGGAGGATTGTGAGTTCCAGGCTGGCCTGGGCTGTATAGCAAGCCCATGTCTCATAAAACCAAAACCAAAACCAAAGCCAAAAACCAAGGGGAAGGGGTTTGATATGTTCATTTAGTACAAACACTAGAACCTGAGTTCTATCAGCAAAACCAGTTAAAAGGAGAAAAAAAGGCTGGGCATGGTGGCACATGCCTTTAGTCCCAGCACTTGGGAGGCAGAGGCAGGCGGATCTTTGTGAGTTGTTCAAGGCCAGCCTGGTCTACATAGTGAGTTCAGGTCAGGTGGGACTACAGGGAGACCCTGTCTCAAAAAGACAAAAAAAAAAGGAGGTTAAAAAAAGCTGGGTGCAGTGGTTTGGGCTTATGATCCTAGAGCTGGGGAGATGGGTGGGTCCCTGAGGTCTACTGGCCATCCAACCTAGCCTACTCGCCAACCTCCAGACTAGTGAGAGACCCTGTCTCATACACACACACACACAAAACCACAAGTTGCTAGGAGATGGCTCAGCACTTAGCATTTTCTACCCTTACAGAGTACCAGTTTGGTTCCCAGCACCCATGTCAGGCAGCTCACAACTACCTGCAACTCCAGCTCCAAGGGATCTGACATCCTCTTCTGGCCTCTGTGGACACCAGTACATACATGCACATATCTACTACACACACACACAAATAAAAATTTAAAAAAGAAAATAAAAGTAGTGCCTAAATCTGTCCTCTGGTCTCCACACACATGCACACATACACCGTTATGCAACTCCACCCACACATAAACACCAACAAAAAAATGTTAGGAACTCCAGGGACCTATAGCATAGAAAATCATGGTGAACACTGCCTTAGGGCTCCCTGGGTTGAGGTCTTGCACTAACTCCTAGGTGACAGCAGGTGGTGACAGAGCTCACTATACTACATTAGGCTAGCCCTTGTCTTAACCTGCCCTCCACTGCAGGTCCCAGTGGGAGATCATATCTGGGAGAAAAGGAGGAAGCTGAGAAGACACAAGGGAAAAATGGGGTTGGGAGTGAGGCACAGACCCCATCCTCCTCTACTGGTCTGGGAAGGGGGAGTTAGTAGCAGACATACCAGAGCGGTCCCCCGCTCCCCGTCCTGAGAGGCCAGGAGAACCTGCTTGAGCAGCATCTTGAATGAGAGGATTGTCCTCAGGGTTCCCTGGCATCTGTATACATATGTGAGCTCCCCTCCCTCAGCCACTCCCTGTCTTCTCATTCCCCCACAGCCAATGCCAACTCTCCCCAGTTGCCACTAAACCAACCCCATCTGTTGCCATCTGGTTCACATCTGTGGACATCTTACTAGACCTCCCATACACATCTACAGTTCCTCCTCCCTTTAAGGAGGCTGCAGGGCAGGACTCTGGGCTACAGGCTTGCTTTCCCTCACACACCGCCCTGTCAGGAATAAGGAGCCAGGGGAGGGGGAAGAGGGGGCAGCCCCACCCCGGAGGTGCCTCAGGCTCTTAGCAGAGGCAGCTGGAGCAGTTAGTACCACCTGCCAATGACTCACCTCCCACCAACCCAAACACAACACCCCGGGGCTGGGAACCCAGCACCCAACACACAAGCACACCGCATGCATGCACACATACAGACATGGGTGCATGTGCGTGGTCTCACCCTGACCCTCCAAACCCAGACCTCCTTGCTACTCTCCTCAGAAATCTAGTCCATCTCTCCCAATCAGCCCCAATACTGAGACGTTCCATTTTCTTTTATTTATACAAAAAAATGTTTTTTTTAAATATAATTTAAGAACCCCCTCCAAGCACCGGTGTCTGCCTCTGTTGAAAACCACCATCCCCTGCCCCTTTTACTATCTGGCCCCCCTCCCCTACACATGGACACAGCTTGGGGATACTTGAAGGAGAGGGAAGAAGACAGGAACTGTCTGGCATTGTGGCATTTCCAAGGCACTATTCTGGAAACAGATATATTAGTGGCTCCCTGCTTCCAACAGGAGACAGTGGAAAACAGGTGCCTTCAACACACAAAATTTGGACAAGGGATGGTAGAAAAAAAAAAGTAAAAATAAAAAGGGGAAGGAGAAAAAAATAAGACGAAAAACAAAAATAGTAAAAATTCAGAACCTTCAATATGAAGGCAGATGAGGGGACAGACATTTACAAGGGGAAAAGATTGCGTTTGGTGGTGACAGCAGCGAGTTGGGACATCGAAGCCCAATGACTACTTCACTGGGTCATGGATACCCTCTCTGGGGACAGCGTTCTCCACTCTGGAGCTGGCAGGCTGGTCACCCTCTCTTTGGTCTGCAGGGACATGTCCATCGAGGTGGAGGGGGAGCACCTCAGGAGCCCTCTGAGGAACATGAGAGATTATGGGCTCTTCCTTTCTCAGTCATGAGGAAAAGGTTCACCCTGGGTTTCAGGGTTCCCCACCTGGAGGGTACCTGATATGATTTCTACCAATCCAATACGGCACAACTTCCCAAATTCTGTGTCTCCAAGATTGCCAACTCCCCACCCCCACGGGTTCAAAGTGCAATCCAATGGGGCGCTGAAATTGGGGTTCTCTCTGAGTCCCCACCCAACTCTGCCCCAGGAAGAAGGGGAGGCCATGTCCCTGGGCTGTTGAGTTCTTGGAATCAGTATTGCTGAGCTGGTGCTCCTGTCCCACCAGGGGCTCCTGGCTTGGCCTGGGACTTCATATGCTGGACACTGGCCAAGATTTTCTTCTGGTGTCCTGCCAGAGTGACTCCAATTCGGAGCAGGTCCCTGCAGAAGAACAGAGAACTGGCTGAGTCCAGGAATGCTCTCCTTTGCAGTTCCAGACACCAGCGAGTTAACTTTGGATTGACAGCCAACCAGGAAACACACAGGGAATGAATGATGTCAGAAGTTGTGAGGGAAGACTTAGGTGCCAGGCCTCTTCTGTGCAGCTGTAGTAAAGGGAAGGCTAGGTTTCTAGGGCTCAGGGGCCTTGGGAGGTGGGAGAAGAGGAAGGAGAGAGAGAAAACCCTGAAGTGAGGTTGGGGAAAAAGCTATAGGAATTGCTGGGAGAGAAGAAAGAAGGAAAAGGCCAGACAGAAAAAGAAAAGGTGCAGTCAAAGGGCTCTGGGGCACTTTTTGGCTCAGGGCTCATTTAAGACCTGGCCAGAGACCCTCTGACTGAAGAGTTTTACTTTTTCTAAAAAATATTTTATTATTTTTATTTTATGTGTACGAATGTATTGTCTGCATGTGTGTAAGTGCACCAAGTGTATGCAATGCCTGTGAAGGTCAGAAGAGGGCACCAGATGCCTTGGAACTGGAGTTATAGACAGTTGTTAGCTGCCATGTGGGTGCTGGGAATCAAACCCAAGTCC